TAGGAACAGAAGAGCAGAAATATCATCAATTACACAGGATTTGTTACCTGATAGGGTTCAATGTCATCAGAGGGTTAAAACAAGGTAATAAAGAGAGCAGTTAACATACAACATCCACTGTATACACAGAACACAGGTTTTTGGGTAGCAAATGTCAGTCAAGCACGAAAATAACAAACCTCAAGACAAAACAGCTGAGGATTAGTCACAGATACACCACCCCCCCCCCCCAGATGTGGGACCCTCCCTTGTTTTAGCCCTTAAGCACCAGTTGGTGGTCTTTGGTCAGAAAGCTTCTCACGCGTGAATAAGCTCTGACTTCATGATGTAAAAGACACACAAAAGACATTCAAAGCACTCACCCAGATGATAACGAAAAGGCCAAAAATGTCTAATATTTTGAAAGCGAATAGTAAATACAGTGAAAATTCCTGACACGGAGCTGCCCATTATAGTGATAAGGCATATATCTCGACAACTGAACTCATTTTCCCTAATGCACTTGTGCTCGCATGAATGTGACCGGACCATACTTATCTTCGCTACAAAAAAGTCACCTTATTACACTGTGTTTTAACCATTGAATTCTACCATATCATAAGAATACTTGGAGAAATATCAACGCAAGCCAGGAATGGTCTTTTACCTATTTCTCTGTGAGGTCCTCTGCCGGCTTCTTGTTCCTAGCGAGGTAATGTTGCGTCCTCCAGCGACTGTTTTCAGAGCTAGGCAAGTTTAGCATGCTAGCTTCTTAGTGTCAAGCCACACGCGCCAGGCCTTATTAACTGCACCAAAAAAGGATTTCCATCTAATTTAGCCAATTATAAGGTATGAACTACCCCACTGCTTTTGATTATGCTTTTTTTTTGTTTTTATGAATTAATGTCGTTACAGAGTGAGTAGCAAAGTCCAGGCTGAGAGCTTTTAGAAGTGAATGCCCCAATTCACCACTGATTAGAATTGTGAAGCATTAATTAGCACAAGCTCAGTTGTTTTTATGTTATTTTTATTGCCTTTGACCAGAAAGGGAAAATCAAGTGAAATTTTAGAACATGAGAGTGTACGAATCGTAGTGGAAGCCAATGTTTATTATGGTTTGTTTTCCTGTTTGGCAAAAAAACAAACTTGCAGTGACGGTCTCGTTGGACCAGAAAAATTCCTATAGAATGTCTACAGACAAGCCTATACACACACACACACACACACACACACACACACACACACACACATATATACACACACACACACACACACACACACACACACACACACACACATATATATATATATATATATATATATATATATATATATATATAAATAAAAAAAACATATATATATATATTTTTTTTTTCCTTCTATAGACTATGTAATATATTTCTCCCACAGGGACGCTTTTAGCTTTCTTTGGTCACAAATCTCCATTTGAATGTGACGTAGCGATACTTGGAATGTTAGCTAGGAAAGATGCACTTAAATGTAGCTTATCCACAGATAAGCTACTGACACCTTTATTTGAATGGAATAAAAGAACTCCTTTCTTTTAGCATTTGCAAGCAATCTCAGTTGGAAATTGGCATTTTCTCCACCATGAACATGGTCTTACAATTCGACGCGACTAAATCTTCTAATACCATCGTATAATCAAGGCCTTGCAGCACATTCCACGGATATTTAAAAGGATTGACCACTTCAGTAATTTATTTCCTTATGTCACAAGGTCACCTGTTTTGTTCCGGGGATAGGATGTGCCACACTTGCAGAGGTCATGATCTTCCCAATTCTAAGTGTGCTGGCACCTGCAAAATTAATTATATAAGACAGCAATTAATGATGAAAGTAGAAGGAACTTACGCGATTCTATGGACACATGCTGTGCACTCTGTGGTAAAGGGAGAAGACAAGGCGTGTCTTTATTAGCTTTGTTAAGTACCAGACAATCCGCAACATGGTGCTAGGCCAATTCTTTTTTGTTTTACCCATAGTTCCAAAGGGTCCACTAAAACCACACATAACACACTAGACTGCAAATGTTTAGAGCAAGTCCTTGCATCAACACTTCATAAACTGTCGCACAGAATCTTTCCGGGGAAGGGAGGTAAATAAATAAATAAACTTCCACCGCTGAAATTCATGAAGCGGGCGTCTGGAGAGAGAACAGATGTCAGAATGTGATTTGGCGTTCTTTCTCTTTTTTTTTTAGCAGTAAATTGTTCCCTTGCAGTTTGCCATTAATCCTGAGTGCTGCCAACCAAGCCCTTTACACAGAGGCAGTCTCCGCAAGCAAGTCAGAGGACGGTTATTATGGGATGGATCTTGGGATTTTTGGCATGATAAGCCAAGAGAGGATTCTAAGCTCCGCCCTCCGCCGTGCCTAGTCTGTCTATAGCTCTGTGCCGCTGTAGAGAAATCAAGATGGATCACGTGAGTTAAGATGGTCTTAATCTACAGCCATATCACAGGAATTGTTCCAAGAAAACTGCTTTCCTCACTTTTCCTTCTTTGTCCCCTGTTACTCAGATGCAATGCAATTCTTTGAAGACACCCGCGGAAACAACTACCACTGCTGTTATATTGTCATTATGCTTTTGACTAATGAGGGAGGAACAGGCTGTGATTATGCTCCAAAGGATTTGTGAAGGAAATGGCGATATTACCAATTCAAACATATATTATTTAATGTGAATGATAAAGAACATCATCCTGCTACAAGGCGACGGCATTCAGCCTTGGAAAGACACCCGAGACTGTCCTCCCATAACATCTGTCAACAGATTTTGTTTTGTGTGATTTACCCTAAGCTTCCCAGAACAGGAAATCTGACACTTTTAAGAGGGACGACGGCACCGGCACACGGTTTTCAACACACCGGAGGGGAGTCGATATGCACATGAAAACCGATGAACGCTGCAGGGTCTTTCATCGTGAGCGGATCAAGATTTTGGTCAAACTCTGAAATCCCACATCCGCTGCGATGAGAGACACGGTAACCGGGTAATTATGGGATGGGCACACACTAGTGTGCCATGACGCCGCCAGTTTCCAGCCTTAATCCTTTTGACCTTCACTGAATGCATACCCAGCTATCGGTACACGTCATGGACAGATATTGCGATTGCTCTCATGCTGCGCTTTTTGGCATCATGTCAGCCAACAAGTTTCTCTGAATCTATAGTTTGAAGCCTCTTGTTTCTCCATCCTGATTCAGGTGATGTTGCACGAGGCACCAATCAGAACCATCAGTCTTCATGGTTTGATCCTGGACTGTAAATTTTATTGAATTTACACTCCTGTTCCCAAAACTGAAAGAGAATCACACACACCCTCCCTTACCCCTGCCTAAGAAAGAAACTACGTCAGATGTAAAGGAATGAAAATACCTTATGGATTTTGGGAGCAAAAAAAAAAAGCATGAATCTAAAATATGGTAGCTGTTAGCAGCTCAATTTCCACTTAATGAAGTGTGTGTCCTTCCGCTGTGAGGGTGGGAGGGAAGAGGGTCTAACCCCCCCAGCTGTGGCACACACACACACACACACACACACACACACACACACACACACACACACACACACACACACACACACACACACTCACACAAATGCACACACACACACACACACACACACACACGCACACACAAATGCGCGCACACACACACACGCGCACACACACACGCACACACACACACACGCACACACACGTACGCGCACACACACACACACACGCACACACAAATGCGCGCACACACACACACGCACACAAATGCACGCACACACACACACGCACACACACACACACACAGGCATGCACACACACACAGGTACTCACATGCACACACGAGTAAAAAGACCCGAAAGACATTCACGTGATTGAACATGGTCTTTAATAATAAAAGGCCCTCCATACAAAATGATATGTACAATCAAACCATTTGTCCAAACAATGTCAGAAAACACTGCAGTTAAAGGAAAATGCTTTGTTTTCCGTATTTACTTATTTATTTATTTTTAAATACAATGCATTACGTCAGCATGATACCCACACTTCTTGGTAATTGTAATGGGAGGGGCTGGGGGGGGGGTGTAGTTCATGGGTCTGTAATTTCAGTACAGGGCATGTGTTCACTGGCTACCATGTTAGAGTCGGCCCAGGTGATGCTGGGGCTGTGAGCCAACCAGAGCTTCCAGTCCAATTAGCATCCATGACGACACACAGGAGGAAAGAAAAAAAAAAACACAATCAGAACATCCGGCTAACCTCCCTTATTGCAAGATGAGCCTGACACGCCAGAAATACATTTAAAAAATAAAAAATAAACACACAATTGTTTCATAAAATGTAATACCTTCATTTGGTCGAGATGGTGATCTACATTGTTTTTCAGTAGCACAGCTCGGCCCTGCACATTTAAATTAGTTATAATTCTCTGTTTTATGAATACTGTACACGGCCAGCATGGCCACTGACAACTGGAAACAAACAGTGACACAGGGACTCAGGGGAAAAAAAAAAAGAAATGAATAAAACGTGTGTGTCTGCGGTGATTTAAATGGCTGGAAATGATATCAGGATGATTAACTGAGTAAATAGGATTGGTATGAAATGCTTAAATGCTAGTTGTTCACAGTAAACATGTGTTTTCTTTTTTATCATTTGGTCAGCTGTTAGTATGTTAGTTATTGTACTGCCAGATAAATGTGCATGTTATCAGTGCGAGCAATGGTGGCATGGGGGGGGTAACAGGAAGTGATGTCAGCTCTCTGGTGAGACGGGCCTACCGCATGGCACACCGGCAGACGCCCGCTTTATCCTTCCACATGTCGGTGTTTCCACGACCCTGAACGCCGCTGGGGAGGGAGACCGATGCTGGCAACAGACACAGCTCCTCGGAAACTTCTGGAAAGGCACGACATCCCGCGCTCACCCACCTCGCAGGGTGGGGCTCAGTGGTGCCCCCCCAGGTACCCTGACACACTCCAAAGGAGGCCATGAAACGCTTCGGCCACAACTCTCTCTTTTATTTCATTTAAAGGATAATAGAAATGCTTAGAGAAGTGCAAATCGGTCATTACGCCAGGAAAACAAACAAACAAACAAACAATGCATATCTCCACTGTCTCCATGTCACTACAGAGGAAAACAAAGAAACGACAACAAGACAGCTTCTCCCCCCCGCTCTGCCCCGGCCCCCCGGGTCCCGACCTCACTTGTCTGAGTTTTTGCGCGGCCTCCGGAAGCTGGACGTGTTCTCGTTCAGTGCATAGATGCGGCGGGAGAATTCCTCGAAGCCGGCGGCGTCCAGCTCGCCCAACACCTGCTCGTCACACTCCACGGCAACGGCGCGGTCCACGGGGATGCAGGGGTATTCCTCGGGGTGCTCGGTGCCGCCGAAGCCCGTGGCCTCGGTGCCGATGATCTCCTCGGCCCGCTCCACCGGGCAGCAGAGCTCCGCGGGCATGGGGAGGCCGTCGCTGAGGGCATGCGGAGGCAACGCCGCACCATTCACGGCGCCAGAGTGTGGCTCTGCGGGTTCCACCTGGTCAGACCCCACCATGGCGCCAGATGCCGGGTCCTCTAGAGCCTCCATTTCCTTGGACAGATCGATGCTAGTATCGAGGGAGGAGGACAGGTTCCTGGGCGAGTCGGTGGGCAGCGACGTGGCGATGGGCTGGCTGCCGGGGGTGCTGTACCCGCCAGGCGGCGTCTTGTATTTCTGCTTGTCGGCCTCTGAGCTGGCTCGCTTGCGCACACCTTGGTCCGGAGAGCTGGATCTATTCGGGTGGGCCAGCTCGGACGCCATCGTGGGGCTGAGCTGCGATTTTGATGGGACGGGAATGGAGCCAGAGACACCGTGCCGGTCGCTGGGGGAGAGGGGAGAGCGCTCTGGTTACTGCCTCACGGCCATGAGACTGACAGACACCGTTCCGGCACGTCATGCAATGGCCCGGCTGAGAACAGCTGTTTTAAGTAAATCGCTTTGCTCGGGACATCGGAGATCACCGGAGCGAGAGACGGGGGGCAGGAAGCCCGTGTCCAAGTTGCACTTTCAGAAGCATTCAAGACACATCAGATAAGCCATGGCGGACCCGAGATATACCATCTTCAGAGGGAAAACCCGACAAGAAAAAAGCAAGGCTAAATTGGATTTCGCTGCCGATAAACATCACGCTGCCCCCTACATGTCAACTACGGCGCGACATGGGTCTGGGCAAACGGAACCAATATGGACCACAAGCCCCCTGGGGCAACAAGGTGGCTGTAGCAGGGTGTGTTACAGCTTGGCCAGGAGATGAGGTGCTGACAAGCACCATAAAGGGGGGGGGTGACAGAGGTTTAAAAAAGAAAAAAAAAGGGGGAGAGGTACCCTGCCAATTAGTAAAGTGAAACAGTAAGAACAAGACAGGGGGCTTGGCGGGCGACGGAGCTGCCTGTGGGCTTGTGCATAGCTGTGGGGGGCACGGCCTGGTAGGGCTGCCCCCCCCCGGCTGCATTGCAAATGCTGAGGGACTGTGGTGTGTTTGGCACGCTCACCCCCCCAACCCCCCACTTTGACCGTTTGCCTGCCGTCGCCTACTTCGGGCTGTCGGGGGGGCATTCAGGATAGAGCTTCCCACACGAGTTGGTTTGACCATTGTTGTAATTGTGGTTGTAGTTCTGCTGCAATGAACCCCCCCCCCCTTCCCCCGCAACCAATAGAAAGTGAGGGATTTCAGTGGCAGGCTGCCAGGTCTCTCTCTCTCACGTTTCCTACAGCAGACCAGGGGAAGCACAGTGGGGACATAAACCCGATAAGGCAGGGTGCTCCGCCTCCAAACGCTACTAAAAGTGGCCAGCGGAGGGCGCTCCAGCGGATCCTTTATCACGCGTCGTGTTATTTCAGCCTCCCCAAAAAAACTGGCTACCATCAGATGTTCGCCATTCACTGAGCGACATGCTGGGGTCAAACATTCATAGAGAAAAACAGCGACAATAAAAGGTAAATAAAAGCATCTGCCGCTGCGCATCGCGCCAGACGCGGTGGCTGCCGGTCTGCTGGCCGCATGACTAACTCCAGCACACAATCCCTCTCTCGGCATTCTGGGACGAAAATCGATCCAATTCAAAGAGCAAAGGAAGAGGGACGGGTTGCGAATCTACTGACTGACGCCCAAGCCGAACATCACGCCGGAAAGGGCTACGAAAACACAAAAACTGCACGTCGGGAAACGTTCGGATTCCTTTGAGCCACTTGAAAGACGAGCTTAAAAACTCAAACACGTCTGCCTTCGATTAAAATGTGATCCTGTTTAATGGGTCGGCTAATATAAACGCGCTGTCACCCCCACCTCAGCAGTACGCGCTGTCACCCCCACCTCAGCAGTACGCGCTGTGACACCCACCTCAGCAGTACGCGCTGTCACACCCACCTCAGCAGTACGCGCTGTCACACCCACCTCAGCAGTACGCGCTGTCACACACCTGTGGGGTTTTCCGCTCCTCGCCTGTCATGGCACTTTCGGCTCTAACCCGCTCCTTTAAACGTGCGTCAAATTAAGTCGCTTAATCATGAACATGGATTGGTATGGAGGGGTGGGCACGGGGTAAGGAGGGGGGGGCGGGGGGGGGGGGGTCAGG